TGAAAATATTGTCGGGCATAAACCGGTCCGTGGCGCAAAAAAGGTTGGAGACCGCTGGTCTAGATATTATACATCTAGACATGGCTGTGCAAAAATAAAATGATGGATTATTTATTTGGTTTCTGGGTTTATTAAATGTCTCGTGTTACAGCAGCAATGAAATTCAGACTTGTTAAATATGTTGTTGTTGAGTTAACTGCAAGGTGCCACCTTTGTTCTGTGTCTCATTTTTGTTGAGTAAATGTTATAAATGCTAATGTGGGGTTTATTTGTGGACCAAATTATATGGGCTACATTTTCAATTAAGGCAGATATAGAGATTTCTTAGATAACTCACTTATACATCCCTGCAGTAATATTTCTTAGAAAACACGAAATTGTGGATAAAATATAATAGAAGAGCGTGCCTCTCTTGAGCCACAATGCCACCTATTTTTATTAATGTTGACACAAATAGCTTTGGTAGTGCATTACAGTGTCGCTTCTCTTGAAATTGGAACACCAGTAGGAAGCAGTCCTGTGCCACACTGTGCAGAGAGCACACGCAGCCTGGGTACAAAGCAGGGCAAATATAGCTAAGGTAGACCCAGGGCTGTGTTAAAGAAAGCAGTGAGCTACAAAATAATGGTCATCTAAAGCTGCTTCTGTATGCACGAGCAGTGTCGTAGCACGTGCAGTGTGGAAATGTACCCTCCATTGAGCCATGCAGACTAACAAGTAGAACTGACAACACCCGAGAGATTTATGATGGAGAGGACGGGGAGGGGATGGGTCTACATTGACTGTTTCTGCATGATGGCCGGTCTGATTTGACTGACTGAGACATGTTATCGGCTGGTGTGGTACAGTGGCCCCAAAGCATCACACAGATGGTTGTTCTGTGCTGACACCAGCCGCCCCCTGAGATATGTATGCAATCAGTGAGCAGCAATGAGAGTGGGATGTGTATAGTGTGTATGATGCCGAGAGGGAAATTTATATCTTTGATTAATAGAGTGTAGTCCTTTTTATGGCTGAAATTTAAAGCCTTTAGGAAAGAGTAAAATGATGTACAAAATGTAACAGCAAATGGAATCGCAACAATAAACAAGGAAATATATAAATATAATATAATCATCAAACAAAACACAAATGAGCTAAATTTCCAAAATAATAACAACTAGAATGCTGATTTAAAAAAAAAAACCTGAAAATTAAAACCAGATCCATTTTGGGTTTTTGTTTTGTTTTGTTTTTTCAAAGTATGTGGTTATAACCAAGTTTTTGCTCTCTTTACTTAGGAGGTCAGGACATCTTCATGACTGAAGAACAGAAGAAATACTACAACGCCATGAAGAAGCTGGGGTCCAAGAAGCCGCAGAAACCTATACCTCGACCAACAGTGAGACTCGGACTCCTAGGTCTTTCTAATCAACTGCAAGCGGAGTGAAATGACTCATTTGTTTTCATTCCTTGTCTCTCTTTTTTTCAGAATGCTTTTCAAGGCTGTGTCTTCGACTTCATCACAAAGCAGGCCTTTGACATCGTGATCATGATCCTCATCTGCCTTAACATGGTGACCATGATGGTAGAGACGGATGACCAGACGAAAGAGATGGACCATATCCTGTACTGGATTAATCTGGTCTTCATTGTGCTCTTCACTGGGGAGTGTGTGCTCAAGATGATTTCACTGCGTCACTATTACTTCACCATTGGCTGGAATATTTTTGACTTTGTGGTGGTGATCCTTTCGATTGTAGGTAAGGAGATGTCCTAAAGTTCTTTTCATTTGATGGTGTTTAAAAAAATATAAAAAGTATATCAACACAAAAAAATCCAATGGGGCTTCTTTTTCCTTTGCAGGCATGTTTTTATCTGAAGTTATCGAGAAGTACTTTGTGTCCCCAACACTGTTCCGAGTGATACGATTGGCCAGGATAGGCCGAATCCTCCGCCTTATCAAAGGTGCCAAGGGCATCCGGACGCTTCTCTTTGCCTTGATGATGTCACTCCCTGCCCTGTTCAACATTGGCCTCCTCCTCTTTCTTGTTATGTTTATCTATGCCATTTTTGGCATGTCCAACTTTGCTTATGTCAAGCGGGAGGCAGGAATCGATGACATGTTCAATTTCGAGACCTTTGGGAACAGTATGATCTGTTTGTTTCAGATTACCACCTCAGCTGGGTGGGATGGCCTGCTGGCACCCATACTTAACAAGAGGGACCCTGACTGTGAGAGCCAGCTGGAGCACCCAGGCAACTACTACAAAGGCAATTGCGGCAATCCATCAGTAGGCATCTTCTTCTTTGTCAGCTACATCATCATCTGTTTTCTCATTGTGGTCAACATGTACATTGCTGTCATCCTGGAAAACTTTAGCGTGGCCACTGAGGAGAGCGCCGAGCCACTGAGCGAGGATGACTTTGAGATGTTCTATGAAGTGTGGGAACGCTTTGATCCTGATGCTACGCAGTTTGTGGCGTACAGCAAACTCTCTGACTTTGCAGATGCTCTGGATCCACCTCTACGCATACCTAAGCCTAACATGATTCAGCTCATCTCCATGGACCTGCCCATGGTGAGCGGTGAGCGCATCCACTGCCTCGATATTCTGTTTGCTTTCACTAAAAGAGTTTTGGGTGAAGGCGGTGAAATGGACATGTTGCGCGGACAGATGGAGGACCGCTTTATGGCCTCCAACCCCTCTAAGGTGTCTTACGAGCCCATCACCACCACCTTGCGCCGCAAACAGGAGGAAACGTCTGCTATAATCATCCAGAGAGCCTTCCGGCGCTACATGATCCGCCTGGCCATGAAGAAGGCCTCAGCCCTCTACAAGGAGCAGTTGAAAGAGGGCATGCATGACCCTGACAAAGATGTGATGGTCATCAGCAAGTTCAATGAGAACTCCACGTCAGAGAAAATGGACATGACCCCCTCCACAGCCTCCCCGCCATCATATAACAGTGTGACAAAGTCAGATAAGGACAAATATGAAAAAGAAAATAGGGAAAGAGAAAATAAAGCAAAAGACTTGAAAGACCGAAAGAAATAGACTTCTTAAAAAGGAACAACAACAAAAAAAGAATGCATCAGAGACATGAGGGAACTTTGTTTAAAGCTTATATATATAGGGGATATTTAGATTCACATTTGTGTTGATTGTTCCAACATGAGGAGTCTGTGCCATGTAGGCATGGAATGGGAATGTGGTTATGTCGATATATGGGGAATATGAAAACAAACTATCCAGCAGACACTGCCAGAGTTTGAGTGGGAAACAGAACAGCCTCTCTGCAAAACGCTTGTGATTCTCCTATTGGTTGTTGTTACTGACACACTTGAGTGTACTGTTAAGTTTTCTGTAGCTAGTGCTGCTGCTACTACTATAAATCCAGTGTCTTGAATTTAACAATCGCTGTATCACTTAACAATTGCTCCACATTCTTCAGTGAATTTTCCTTTCCAGTTTCCAGTTTCGTTTTTTAATGCGAAAGAATGTTTTCTACTTTGTTTTGTTTCATTATCGTGAGAATGTGTCCACTGCTTTCACTGTTGTAAAATCACCAAGGGCAGACTAAGTCAACGCTGGAAAATACAACAACCACCTGAAACTTGTACAATGCAGGGTCAATGCCAGAATACTCTTGGTTCATACTGTATACAAAGCTGAAATAACGAACACGCCACTAAAGTGCAATGAACAAACACATTGCATTTACTGATGTACCATCACTGATTGTTGACATCCGTATTGTTCCTATTTCAGTAGAAATTACAAGTCTCCAAATACAGAGAAGCTGAATGTATGCAAGCAAAGGAATGAGACGCATTAAAGGAAACTTGTTCTTTGGGAAATACTCTTGATTGCTCTTTTGTAGAGAGTTTGATGACAAAATTGCTACCACTCCCATTTCCATCTGTGTAGTATAAAGCTAGAGCCAAGGGATTGTTAGCTGAACTGAGCATGAAGGCCAGACTCGGGCTAAAAGTGTCAAACATCTAGATTTTTCTTTGAGAATGTATGTATATATAAAATTGAGGTAATTTTAGCATACTAATAAAATAGCAGCAGAAGCCTTACACAAATTCACGTATGGAATTGATAAAGTCTTCATTGGTAAATTTAACTATAGTCCCATCAAGCCAGAGCACAGTCACTGCAAAAAGGTTCCAGATGATGATGTATAAACCATTAGTTATTCTCACTCATGAAGCTATAACTGCTAACTGCTGTGGTTTAAACAAGTGTGCCTGTCTAGTTTGTGCTTATCGGCATTTTGGATACAACTGTATTCGAGGTGGTGTGCATTAGTCTTGGATTGGCACTGAAATAATAATTGACACTGGTTGGGAACACAGAAAACGATTTGTTTTATTTGGTCATATGTTATTTTAAGGCAAAGTTAACATTGTTTTAGGTGTCTTTGGTCCAAGACTAGGGTTTAATGGGCAGTCCAGTTCCTTGTTTACCACTGGAGGTCAAGGAAACATATTGACACAATTATGAATGGTTTCACAGCTGCCAATCCCAAGCCTAATCAAATATGACAGTTTATGTTAGCACATAAGGCTAATTAGCTTTTTTTTACCCCCTGTTTTTTTACGACGAATACTATAATATAGTTTTTATAATGGTTCATCTTGGATAATGTTAAAGGCTTCTGGAATAATGTCAGTGTCAGGTTAGGATTAAAATATTCTAAATGACAACAGTTGGAACCCTCATGTTCACGATGGGTGTCATCTTAGTTTTATGCAAACCTCTTCATATAAAGTGTTACTGGACATTGTTGACCTCCCTGATTACAGTCTTCATGCTAAGTTAAGCACAGTTCATTAGTTTTTGTTTTTACCTCTCCATAATATTACTTTATTAGTAAATGATAAAGTTAAGTCCTGGTTTTATCCCTTTTCCTCTACACATTCTCTACACCTGTTAGTTCCTATCCCTACTTACATGTTGAGACGCTGGTTCAACCCCATATGTCGTTTCACTAGCTGGGCCCACGTCCTCATTTTAGGTTTGGCAGCGTTTTTAGTAGATTAAGGCGAATGGCTTAATTAAGAATTGAGCTATGGTTTGGGGAAGGCCTCGATGGGGACTGGCGGCAACTCCCAGGCCTGGCAGATCCCCATGTGAAGAAGTGAAAGACTTGGAAAAAAGGGTGGAGCACAAAAACGAGAAGGAACAGCTTGTAGAACTGGAGAGTCATAAATAGATAAGACCCGAAAGGGGCGTGTTTGGAGGGGTGGTCCCGCTCCTGAAATTCAGATAATTTATCTCCAAAATGCTAATGTAAAAACTTGGGTTTGAATCTGCCCTGGGTCATTTGCTCTGCCTCTTCCTTTGCTCTCTTATCGTCTGCACTGTCCTTCCATAATAAAAACTACAAATCCCCCTAACAAACTTCCATGGTTTAAATAAGCTAATTAGCTTCAAGCGTCACATTTGGCTAATGTACAGATATAAGAGTGGTAATAATCTTCTCACTGGCTCTGGCAGTGAAGCAAATAAGCACATTTTTGCAAAACGCATCTTTGAGAATAACACTCAAACCTGCTCGTCTCACAGCGCAGTGTCTTTCACATACGTTTGTCGTCCTCCCTTTATCCTCCACCCCACTTCCTCCCAGAACTCCTTATGTAATGAAATATTCTAAAAAGATCTTTCTAACTGCTGTCAAGCTAGAACATTACAATATATCACATTAAAGGTTGGTTATAATATCACAGATGTTTGTATGCCATTCATGTTTAAATTGAGCGTGTGATTTAATGTAGTGGTTTGGTTTGTAAATATTATAGATATTTGGGCTCACATTATGCATCACACATTTGATGTATAAGATGAAGCACATTTTATCCCCACTGCTATGTAATACCACGTGTGACGGTCACATTTGTGTGTGCGAGACAAAGGGCGAGTGTGTCTGTATATTTGTATATGTTTATCTATGTAAGAAAGGGACTGCGTGAATGTAGGCATCTATCTCTTTATGTGAGCGAGTGTGTCTGTGTGCATTAGGGTCTGCAGGTTGCTTATATGCTATCGATTATAAATAACATTTTCACTGTAGATATGAGTGCATTTTTCCAGTCTTTGACGTTGATTTACATTTTTCTAGAAGAGGTTTTTTTTTCATTCTGCACTGTAACCTTTGACAATATAAAAGATGGACGTAACTACTGTGACATCAACTCAACAGTTTCCAAAGTTGTGATTTGAAGCTTTGAGATGAACGTTTCCACTGTTGCAGCCTTGGTTGCAAGAAATTGGATGTGATGACAAACGGGTGGGTCTGACTATGACACTGCTTGCTCATTGGCTACTGACTGGTAATTGACAATTTAACTGATGAGATGTTTTGAAACATGGTATGAGAAAGTTTTAAAAAATTAATTCATTTTTATTTACCCAAATCGAGCGACTAAGATAATGAACTCAGCGACAAAGTGTTTACAGAGCTCAAGGAAGAGCCCTTCACGGGACAGGAAGTGTTTTTTGCAACCGCAGCTATCGTCATCTGGTGGCCTTCAGATAGAATACAGGTTTTTAGGCACTTCCACATTGGCTTCATTTTTTCTGACCAGGAAGCTATGTCCATCTTTTTTATTGTCTATGACTGTAACACATGATGAAACACATGTATGGTCCCCATATCTGTAGATACAAACCATGAAGCAATCAGTAGCCATCTTTCATTGCGCTTGTAGTGTTTTAGTGAACTGCATGCAAGAAGTGACTACTGTCCGCTCATATGGTAATATAATTTCAAAGCCAAAAGAATAAAGGACATATTTTTTGTAAATGCTTGTTTATTTTCTCCACTTCCTTCCTTGTCTTTTCTTTCAGGGTCTAAAAGTTTGCTCATTTGTGTGTGCCATCAGCTCTTTGATCTGTGATCTGAACCTGAAGTATGATTGCATTACAGGTTTAACAGGATCTTTCATGTGATTCAAGTACATGTTACACCTGACTGTATCGATTTGCAAAATGTGACAAGTGACTTTTTTTTGTTATAACCAAAGATGTGGCAACTACAAAGTAAACACCTAGATTTTCAAAATAAAACCTGTTTTGGGAAGCATATTTTGCATGCACGACAGATTCATTTGGAGGCTAGAATGAAGATGGAAAGAGTTAAGTGGCTCAGCATATTTAACAGGCTTAAATAGAGACGTTGCTCCTGAGGTGACAGTTTGTCTTCAGCTTAAGTAATCTGTGTTGAATGTAGACAACTGGGACTCTTGAAAATATTCTCTTAGCAGTTCACATTTTAAAGTCTTAGAAAGTACTTATTAAATACAGTATTGTGCAATGGTAGTTTGCCACCACTCATTTCTTTATATTTGGTTAGTAAAATAGCATTTTTTTGGAAATAAGTAAGCAAGTTATAATGAGCTTGAAGGGTTATTTAGTTTGACAGCACAGGTTGAATTCTCTTAGGCTTCTCTGGGCTCCGGTTCACTTAAGACACATCTTTCAGATACTATTAGATACTCATGTGTAGTCGATAGTTTGTTTGTTTTTTTTAGGCCTGCCACTTTTTCTTTTGTCCTCCACTTGTCCATTTTCCCCAGTTTTTATCAGGATCACACACCTTCTGATTTATGCCAAATGTTTTGCCAAATAGCTCTTTGAGAATCACTTTGTTGGTGCAAAAAAATCTATTTTATGTGTGCAAAACTGTGATATCTCTGGCATTTCTTTTGTAGAGTCAACTAAAGAAAGTGGAACAAATTACATGTTTTTCATGACAGGCTGCTATTAACTTTAAGAAAGTGCCTAAAATTGGTTTGTCAGTTATACGTAGACACTATACTGGTTCACACTTTGAACCTATTATTCATAGGTCAGTGTTAAGTGGCATAGCAACGAAAAGGGCTTCCTCTGAAGAGGGGCAGATACAAGGACTGCACTGAAAATGAGTGAAAAAGCAGCAAATACCCAAAGAAAAACTTTGAGAGATGTTCAGAAAGCCTGGGTTACTGCTAGTTTATAAAAATTATGAAGTTGATCATATCATTCACTTCTTTCATATCAATAGACTTCCTTTATTGATGTGTTCTATTCATCCCTTACATACATTTTTCTGGTAGTTACTTTAAACCTTTAGCTAAAAGTAACAAATTAATTAATTAGGGTAAAGCTTTTATTTTCTAGTTTTTATGCAGTCTAAATCCCCAAAGCTGTAGCTTTGATTCAGACTTAATCCAGATCCAACACTTGAAATTGCTGGTGTATGAATAGCCTCTCTTTTGTTGTGAATTGCTTGCATAGTGATTCCCAACCACACAACAGTGTCTTCCCCACATTATGCAGAATCAAGTACTACTGACTACAAGATCCACACAGACGTGTTTAAGAAGGAAAATCTTGTGCTGGAACCCACAGGAAGAAGAGGTGAAGAGCTGAGACAACCCCCACCCAGCAACCCCCTCCAGTGCTTTGCTGCTCTCTGCTTCTCCCTGCCTGTTGCCTAGCAACCTAACATCACAGCTCCCTTGCCTGTGATTGATCAGCAGTCTCTGGGCTTGCTTACCCATAATACCTTGCTGGCAAATAGACAAGCAGTCACCCCCTCCTTCAACCCTCAGCACACGTTAAATTATATTAGAAATGGGAGAAGTCACATGGTGGCCTTGTTCCAGCTCTGATCCAGTGTATTGTTCTCATCATTGTCGGAGGATCACGAAGGACTGCCAAATGTTTGTTTAGCCTCAACTTTACACAGCACCTGCTGCAGGTGTTGTGTGTGCAGCAAGCCATGAAAATATTTCTATACATGAATAGACTGGCCAATAATACAGAACTTCCTCTTTCTCCTGTCTGAGCTCAGCCTCACCCATAGAAGGTGTCAGTGAGTTGCTGGCTCACCACTGCTCTCTAGAGGTCCACTGGAAGAACTGGTGGGGTGTATTAAAGAAAACGAATTGCATGCATGATGACACAGCACTTAGTCAGACTGTTGTCTAAATGGAAAAGCACAGATGTGTGCTGACATCTAAATGTCCAGATTAACTTTACAGATCTTTTTTTCAGCTATCACTGCAGAAAAAATTAGTTCACCTCGTGTTTTTCACGTTGACAAGGAACAAAGGTTCTTGGCTTTCATGTCCAGATATATCAGCAGCATGCCAAGTGAAATAAATAGATGCCACCTGCTGGCAGCATTACATAATTACATAATTTAAATTCGATTTTATGAACTTTTTGAGTGTACAAAAGACAGAGCACAATTAATAAAGTACTCTTAAACTACAGTGGGTGTTAAAATTGATTTATTCACACTTTCATGAAAATGTGCATTGTGTAAAAAGGAAGATACAGAACACGTGGCCCCCAGTTTTTGACAGTATTGATTATTCTCACTGGAAAAAAGCAGAAGTAGTTTCATCACTGATGTTCACAATTATCACTGTAAACTAATAAGTAATGCACAGACAGACCATTCTCTAATCTAAATATATGCTCTTTTAAGAGCTTAACTTAATGGTGAACATTTTGTGATAGTTTTAGGGGTGAGACATGTACAGTATATTAGCAGTGTATAGCAGTGCTTTGAACAAAATACTAAGATCAGCATGGTAACATGTCAGCACTGCTAACATGCTGATGTTTAGCAGTTAGGCTATGTAATGTTTGTTATCTTCATTTGGTTTCTTAGCATGCTAACATTTGCAAAATAGCACAAAATACAAATCAGAGTTGGTGGTAATGAAGATATCGGACCATGTTACATGTCTTCTCATAAGCTGTTTGCTCATTTTCTCTCTGTTGGCATGTCTTTGACTATTTTGTACAGTCAAAACAAATGCCTGCTGTAGCTGTTTGAGTTGTGAGGGTTGACTGTTATAGTAATCTTAAGATCTCTAATGAAAACCACAAAAAAGCTTTGTAAAGTTAAGCTGAACTACAGAATAAATAAATAATTCAAGGTTCAATATAAAAAAAAAATCGTCCTAACTGTGGCAGGGGACCTTCCTGCAATGTAACACACGCCTACATAGTTTGCTTTTTAGGATCTTTGCACTTAAAATTATGGGCGGACTTGCCATAGGCTCCATTGCCTTGTACAGTACCACACTCAAGGACAGCTGTACCCCCTTAAATATGCCCAGGCACAGCACAGAGCGATCATACTGGCAATCAGGGTAGGAATAGCCTTGTGTTATTATGCACTACTAGCGGTTGTGTGCATATGCACCTTTAGTCTTGGTAATTTAGAGAACAAAGCTTTTTAATAGATGTTTAAAGCTGCAAAAGCCTGACCAAACAGTAGCTGAAAGTGAACGGTCACAAGATGTAAAACAGTTTCCTGGTCTAAAGTCACATGTGCTTGTGCCTGTGACCATACCCAGCCCTTTGGCAAGCTGCAAACACTCCTACAAGTTGTTCTAGGTATGCTAACATGGGAAGATCAACTCTCATGTTTCTCACTTGACAGATGATAAACTTCTTCGGTAAGCCGACCACATGCGATACAGACGGAATTGAACAATCATTACCATCAACAATAAGATGGTGGCACAACACAAAAAAACCCCAAAACAAAACAAGCACCTCCAAATCTAATTTTGACTTGTCATAGATGCCAGTCACAACCAGAATGACCGACATGCGGTAATGACCAAAGACTGTACAACAAGCCATAAACTGTATGCTATATAGTTACAGGTACAGAAACACTGATTGATTGATTGACTGAGTGATAAAGATGAACTTTTTCCTAAATTTTTATACTCTTTAGTCCAAGTTGACGTTCCTAGAACAGTTTAGAGACAACGTGAACTCAAATTTTACAGTGCTGTGAAAAAAAGAGTATTTGCCCTCTTCCTTGTTTCTTTAGTTGCCACTGGGGTTTTTGTTTTTTGCATATTTGTCACACTTGCATGTTTCAGTTCATCAAACAAATTTTAATATTAGACAGAGATAAGCTAGTAGAGATCAGAGTAAATTAAATGTCAATTATTTAAATGATGATTTCATTTATTAGGATTAAAAAAAGCTATTCAAGCTTACTTGGTACCATGTGAAAAAATAATTGCGTCCTAAACCTAAAAACTGGTTGTGCCGCCCTCTGCAGCAAGAACTGCACTCACACATTTGCACTAACTGGCAATGAGTCTTTCACGTTGCTGTGGAGGAATTCAGACTTGCTTTTCTTTGCAGAATTGTTTGAATTCAGCAACAGTGAATGGTTTTTTGAGCATTTAAGCTCATGCCAAAGCACCTCAATCACTCCTCAGCACCTCAGCGACTCCAAAAACATTATTTGGGGATTTTTATTTAGCCATTCAGAGTTTTTACTGATGTGTTTTGGATCTTTGTCCTGCAGTATAACCCGAGTGAGCCTCAGGCCACAAACGGATGGCCAGATATTTAGGATTTTTGGAGAAGTCGTCAAGGTCCGGAAGCAGCAAGAAGGCCCAAACCATCACTCTACCAGTACCATGTTTGTCAGATAGTATGATGTTCTTTCTATAACATGCTGTGTTATTTTTATGTAATAGGACTCAAACCTCCAACAATTTCAACTTTGGTCTTGTCAGCCCACAAATCACCAATCACGTGGTTCACCAAGATGTTTATTGGCAAATTCCAATGTCTTTTTGGTTAGCGATGATTTTCTCGTTGGAACTATCTCACAGATGCCATCTTTGCATTACTGTCTTTCTTATTGTTGACAATAGAGACCTGGATACCTTTTTCCCCTTAATAACTGAAACGATAATTTTTAAACTTTATTGTTTATTTACTGATGTCTGAAAAATGTGAAGAAGACAAATGTTCACAGCACTGTACCAT